GATTCATAAAATCCTGCCTCCTCACAGGTATGCTGTAAAAATAAATGTACTATTTCTGTAGGGTTTACCAAATATAGGAATCAATGCTGAGAAAACCCTGTAGGAAACTAGCCTTTTTGGATATCAGGAAGCGGGAAGCATATTCCATGTGAACCACAAGTGGTCATAGGCTGAATGGTGAGAATAAAATGAAATGCTGATCAGCTATTTCACTGCTTCTAGATGGTGCCTCCTGCTCAGCTATAAAGTTGATCCTGTCTTGGAAAACCTCAGTGATCTTGTAGCATCCATACAGATGACCTGATGCCCTCTGTAGGCTCCAGTTCCTGTCCTCCAGTGACATCCATAACCCCAGAAGTGGCCAGACCAAAACGAATCAATCAAAGCAGCACAAAAATCCAGTGTTTCCTGTGCCAACATCCAAGCAATGACATGTTACAGAGATCTAGCTTGTTAGGCAGCTGGACTTCCCTGGGACCCAGAAGGCAGAGGTGGTGGGTTTCTGATGGAGTATGTGAAGCTATTCCTCCTGCCCTCTCCTTCCAAGTGGGATGTGGATATAGTGGTAGATTTCACCAGAAATACAACAAATAAACTCACAATACATACATACATATATATATGTGTGTGTGTATATATATACATATATAAAGGCTTTGGGGAAGTTTGTAAAAGATATGAGAGGTACACAGAGCATCCATCTGTAAAACACTGGTAAGAAGGCGTTTTGCAAACAGAATATAGTCACAATGAAATGGTTTACCTAATGCTAGAAACAGCAACCAACAATTGATCCTCATGAAAACAAAGCAGGAGTCTAAAATATTTTTGAAACTAGTCTAAATATTTAGACTAGTGGAAAAAACCTTAGGAAATTATTTTACTTACCTGACTCTCAAGCCATTACCTGTACCAAGCCCATTTGCACAGGTTTATCCAATTTTTCAGCCATTCTCTCATAAAAAGCCTTTATCTCTATATTTTGGAATTACAATTTGTCACCAAAACTATGGCCAGTCTGTATGAAATTAAACTGACTTAGACACCTTTCTCATATCATATCCTAAACAGCATATAGCATCCTGAAAACAGAAATAAAACATCCTTAGTACAATGACTAATTCATCCACTAGTCATTTTGGGGGGTAGTGGTGAAAGTCATTCCTGAATATTTTCATTAATGCAATATTTCTGTAAAACCTAATATTGCCTTTCTGTATGTGAATTTTTGAGGTAAATTCCTTTTTTATTACAATATCCACTTTCAAGAGAAGAAAAACATTTAAAAATTATTCCAGCAACGTAATGCCACTAATAAAACTTCTAAGTGCCACACAATATTAAGGAACTGCTTTTAAAAATCCTGATACAATCACACAGTAAACTCACATTCATGACAAATTATTGGATCCCTACAAAAAAACGCACAGTGTTCAGAAAAAAACAGACTGTGCTTAAAGTGGTAAAATTTTACGAGAAGCAGAAACACCTTCAAGAGTACAAAACAAAACTCATGAAGTCCAATTCAACTACAAATTGAACTGCAATTAATTTAATTGAATAAATAATTAAAAGGAGAAACTGCACACATCAGGCAGCTGACAACAGATATGCCACAGTACAGCTGTTTACAGAAAGGAGAGACTTTGGAGAAGACAAAGACCACTTAGTGACTGCCCAGTTTTTACATAAAGTATGTAACTTCCCTTTTGGATTATCTGTGATTAAGGGAACCAGTTCTTATATTTCCTAGGCACCTGTTACAATCATGATTTGTTTCCAAGCCTGATGTCATACATTTTCTCAAAGTTAGCATCAGGGCACCAAAGTACCATCAGGTTTAAGGGGCAGGAGAACCTGGAGGTGGCAGTGCCTTCACAAGGAAGAAACATCCCACGGAAGATCTCACACATTGCTATGCAGGCAGCCCAAATCACATCCCTGCTTGGCACCTTTGTCCTACTAAAAACGACACAGCACCTTGTAAACTGGCACCATGCCACTCTGACAGATGGACTTAAGTGCAGGCAGCCAAGAGACTACATATAAGCATCAAATATGTTTTTTGAGAGCAGGACTTCCAGCCAGGAATGTTAAAACAGCTGTCCACATTGAGCTTGCATGCCTACACTTAAGAGGATATGCTATTGCCACTCAAGCCCTGAGCTGGATTAACTTGGAAAATAAATAAGATAGCTTCCACAGCCACATAAGGTGAGTTTTTGCAGAATCAGGATTAGTGATACTCAGGGGGGCTTTACTGACCTACTATTAGTGGGCACAGTCGCACGGTCAAAAAGCTCTTCATTTCTGCAGCTCAGAGAAACACTTATCTGGTGCATGCTTTAATATATATATATATTTATTTTTCTTTGGATGAAAACTTAGAATGCAATACCAGCACGATTATGAACAAACATGTTAGTGGCCCTCTGATTTGTGTTAGAGGATGCTTTTTTTATGAACTGTCCTCACTCAGATACTTGTATCTGTGTGACTAGGATCTGTTTCACTGGCTTTCTTCTCTTTTCAAAACTTCAACTCCCAACGGCCCAAGCCAAGACTTTTTGTTGGCTCATGCCTACATGCATATATACATTTTACATTTTGACATCACTTGCATAGTTCATTCCAGTAATAAAATCATACTGCCTGGAGAAACAGGCATTGCATAACACAGGATGTGAGGTGGCTGGCCTGCAGAGCCATGCCCTGTCCACCTCTATCCCGTTCCTGCAACCAGCTGGTCTGTACGCTGCCCACAAATCCTTCTCCTCTAGGACACAAAACATTCCAAACCACTGAGAAGTTCCAACAAAAACAGGTTTGCTCACATTGATGTGCCAAACAAACAACATGCTCTTTTTCCTTTTCCCCCACAAACTCAGATTTTACTCCTGCCCCTCAAAAAGTCACTGGCCTAAGTTTGAAGTGAGGAAAGCATTCAAACATTAAAAAGTTAAAGGTTTCCTCAGAATTCCACACTATTTAAAAAAGATAATACCAAGATTTCCAACAGCAGGCAACATTCCTTCTAGCCCTGAGTAGCTTAAAGACTGAAAGGAGGTGATGATACATTTTTACTCAATGCTTAAACATGCTTTGTGTTCATTTTAATTCTCCCTGTGGTCACAATCAAATCACAGCCATAAATTTTCCATGTACGCTGTAGCTGAGTGTACTCATCTTTACTCTTCTGAATCACTAAAAATGAACTTCAACTCTACAAGGATACTCCCAGTATAGATCAAAGCTGCCTTCAGTGCCTGGTGGGTACAGGGTCATATACAGTCTACCAACAGCTGCTGGTGTCTTTTACCTTTGTTAACTTTAAGGCTGATCTTTGCTGCAATTAAAAGTTACCTGAGTCACTTCATTATGATTTCCTGTGCTAGAAGCATGTCAGTGGTAGCTATCATTTTTCCTGCACAGTGAGAATTTCCCTCCACTGACCTTGCTTCCCCCTCTGGTGAAGACTTCCTTCTCTCACACCCTTAACCTCTTTTACCTTTCATTCCTCACCTACAGCCTTTCCATTTCCTTTCTTTTCTCATGTTTTTGAGGACTGTGTGAAATCACCTACTTGCAAGTTTCAGCCGCCTCTCTGCTGTTCCAAATAACAATTACTAACCTCAGTAAGGAGATGCTTTGCTTTTTCATACTGCCAATAAAGTTGCTAGGTTAATCTAAATTTCCATACCACTTAACCTTTCTCAGAGGGGACCAGAGAGGAAAAACACTTTGTCAAATACTTCATCGGCAGATCAGCAATGCTGTAAATACCTCTCCCTCCTTCCGAAAACCAGCAGTGCCCCAGGCTTTCTCAAGGCACTGCACAGACTGTGCATGGATTTTAAACAGTTCAGGGAATAGACAAATTGCCAAAGAACAGGTCATAAGGAATAAAAATACTGATCTGGATCACTAACGTTTGCTTAATAAAGTAGTTACACACACACAGCCCAAGAGTACTACTTTCATGCATGTCTACTTTACATGGAATTACTATCTCCAAGGCTCTTGTAAAGCCAAAGTAAATTGAACTGCAAATGGTAATGCTGAGCATCCAAAACCCCTTGGCAGCTCTCTCACCCCATAAGTGCCTCTCTTTGTTTAAATACAATTTGAAGGCATATATGATTCCTACAGAATCATGTAAGATACTAATGCAAAGTCAAAGAGCAACCAAACTTATTACATATTACTCAAACTAACAAAAATGTATGGTGTTCACTATCGTGGTCAAACACCAATAAAGTTTAGTAGCCAGTTATCTGAAATACCCCTTCCTCCCACCAGGGAAGACTATCAGGTAGACCTGTCTGTACCTGCCGAAAGCCATGAGAACACAATGTGCCAGACTGGACTCTTTGTTGTGCCCCTTGAGCTCCCCCATCCGAGCTTTTAACCCTGAAGGTTTTACTTGCTGGTTTATCAATGGGTTTTTAACTCTTTCTGAGATGCCAGATGATGTATCAATGCCACTCAAAATTCATTGCTAAAGACAAATGAATGCTGGAAAAGTAAAATGAAGCATGCCAAGAATCTCTCAAAGTGCTTTTTGAACATTAACATTATAGAGACTCTAGGTTAAAGGCATTAACCAAAATTCAGAAATATACAGCTTCTGTGCTAGCTAAAAAACTTGAAGGGGCACAGCTAATTTTAACACTTCTTTCTGAAAAAAATCCCCGGCTAACACCAAGTGCTGAAAAGCATTAGAGAAGCTGACTCTCTGCTGTCCCATTCCCCGTGCTGGAGGGTGTGAGCACAGCTGCTTTTACGCACACCGCATTAGCTTCACCCGTTACTACTGTTCACCACTCCACAAAACATTTTCAGATAGGAAAGCATGGCAATTTTACTTCAAAAGTTCACTTCTGAAGGAAAGCTTAGCACAGACGTTGTTCAGCAGGACCAGGGCAGAAGTACCCGCAACTGGTCCGTCAGAGATATCTGGGGTTCAGCATTCGAAGCACCCTGGTACTTAGATGCCTTACCTAGGTAAAGCGAGGCGTTTTCTTTCTTGACATTGTCATCTAAGTAGGTTGGTCCCAAGGTATAGATGGGTGTCGAGCCCATGCCAATGAGGATTTGGGCACAAATGAATAAAGCTACATAGAGAGAGTGGTCATTTCCGCCAGAGTCCTTGAAACAGGCCGGCGAGTCCCACTGCTCTTTAGCGGTGCCATTGCCAGCCACGCACAAGCCCTCGTTACTGACGGAGGAGTTCAGTTCCTGGATCTGGTACGGCGGAGAGATGAAGTGAGGTAAGGAGAAGAGCGAAGCCCCCAGGGCGATGAAAAGCCCCCCTACGGCCAGCCAGAGCGGCCTCCGCCCGCGCCCCCCGAAGTAGCTGATGAAGACCACCACCACCAGGCTCCCGATGTCGAAGCAGCTGACCAGCAGCCCCGACTCCGAGCTCTTGAGGCTGTATCTCCGCTCGATGGTGGTGATGACGCTGCTCAGGTAGCCGGAGACCATGAGGGACTGGATGAAGGTCAGGAAGCACATGCACACCAGAAAGAAGCGAGAGTCCGCCAGCACTGCCCGCAGGCACTCTCTGCCCGGGGGGCCCGCCAGCAGCAGCGCCGGCGGCGGCGGCAGCAGCAGCAGCCGGGGGGCCGGGGACACCCCTCGGCCGGGCGCCACCGGCTGGCCAAGCTCTGTCCCTCGGGGGAAGCTCCCGCTGCCGGCGCCGGGCGGCTGGGCAGCCCCGGCCACGGCGCCCCCGCCCCGCTCG